AGTCGGCTTTCCGCCGTCGGAGGCCCTGGTGTCCCTGCGGCGAGAGGGGACAGGGGCCACTGGGTCACGGCTAGGCGGGAGAACCGCTTTGTTTTTTTCCGTGAGACATCACAACGGCAAAGGCCTGTGCCCCTCGGAGCTCCCTTGCGTTTCCTACCGCCTGCTTTATGCTGCCCTAGGCCCTTCCCGCCACAGAAGGTCCCAGTCCTGTAAACGGCCAGACCGCGCGCTCCCCCTCGGTCTCTGCGGCGTCCTCGGCAGCTGTCCTGGCTCTGTGTCTGTGTCTGTGTGTGTCTGTGTCTGTGTGTGTGTGTGTACACACCGCTGTAACTTCGTGACCAGCCATTATCTTGAGACCACAAAGGTTTCCCTGTGCCGTTAGAGCGGCATATCCCTTGTCAGTATCAATAATGAAAGTGCTTCGGGGTGTCACGGCTGACCACCGCGGTGCCCTAAGACCTTACACTGAACAGAGCCAGTTTGCAGGCTGGGAATGCGTGTCAAATTACGGGGCCTCTCGCCCTCTTTGCTTCTTGAGGAAACCCGGTAATGGTAGGCGTTAGTCTGAGATGTAGGGTATACTTGCTTTGTCTCAGAGATACTTCAAAAGAAAATTGCACTATGAAATTTGTATGCGTATTAGATTTTGTGTGTGTTTGAATGGACATCCCTGACCTTTCAAAAGTTCGAGCTTGGCGGCGCGGGAGGGGAAGGTACCATAGCATGCACGAGTACTTAATTTTACCAGAAAATAACAACTATTTTTCTCTGGGATTAATTTTAAATTTTTATTGGAAAGTTAGCGGAGTGTTTTGGTTTTGTTATTTTTCAATTAAATTACACTTGGTTTTATTCAAACACTTAATTTTGGATCACATCTTGGGAATTATCTTTTGTTTTTGTTAAACATGAGTGTTTTGTTACATCATTTCATAAGTGTGATCCCTGACATGAAAAAGTAAACCTAAATTATCTGAAAGTAAATACTGAGAATGGCTTTTTTCACTTTAAGTGATGCAGCACAGTGTAAAAGGCAGTTGTTGCTGAGCAGTGCTTATACTAAGTCAAGGACTTTTCAGCTTCCCATGCCCTTCCAGGTGCACAAGAAGCTGGGCAGGAGCAACAACTAAAACATCGGTGTGTTATCGACATCATTCTCATCCTAAATCCAAAACACAGCACTGTACCAGCTACTAGGGAGAAAATTAACTCTATCCCAGCCAAAACCAGGACAATCTGTCTTGAAGAAAGTCTGAAAAACCCATCGGCGTTATTAAATAAATACAAACTTGCAGAATGAGTCTAGTCTGGGTCAGCACTTACTGTCTGGTCTATGGAGCACCAAAGCCATGTTTTAGCTCAAGACTAATTTTTCAGCTTCAAGCCTTGCTCCTGGAAGATTTCTTTCATCTCACAAAGTTCCGTCGACAGGGATTTCATTCAGGTAGTTTGGTTTGCCCACACACAATAAATTTCAGGATAGAGATCTAAATTTGTACAATTAACTTTTCTCTTATGGATCTCTGTCCTGTAGACCTTTAATTCATTGTCAATAGTCGTGCTGAAGACTAATGGGACTGCTCATCCAGGTAAATGGTGTCTACCAGTGTTTTCACAAGCTTTTAGACACTGATCCTACCAACAGAAAAAAAATACAATTCTGCACGAGTTGAGTGGGATAACTTCTCTTAGTAAAATGATGAATGTGCATATATGTGCGTTAAGGATACAGATCTCAAGTTCTTTCTAGCTGTTTATCTCATGCTCTCCTGAAATCTGTTGGAGTTTTTGGTGCTATAACAACTGAATCCGATGATTTTATTACTCTCTCTGTTATAGGAAATACCTTCTTTGATGAGTGTTTTTTGCTAAATAGGATCACACAGAATCATTTCCTATAAGTTAGTTCATTGTATATTGGATTTTTATTTAACAGCTACAACATATTGTCTGTTTCAGCTAACCATGTCTTTAAATTCATCTACACTTTTAAACGAAGAAAACTCTCAAGGACCAAAAAGAAATACTGAATGTTTGGACAGTCTAGAATTGCAGACTCCATCATCGTTTCAAGATAACCCACTTCAACAATTACAGTTAGCATCGCAGGAAGTACTTGAAAAGGCAAAAAAGAGCGGGAGATCAAAATGCCCCCGATGCAGTAGTTCAAGGATGTTTTATTGTTATACATGCTTTGTTCCTGTTGAAACTGTCCCTACCAAAGAAATTCCGACTGTGAAGGTTAATACTTCTTACGGATTTTTTTATAATATTCTTGTGCCTTTTAGTTACTGAGGACAGAGAACAGACAGTCTGTCCGTGACCATTTCTTTTCTGATTCATTCTTTATGGACATTCATCTTCAACACAGCTATAAGTACGAATAAACTACAGTTAGATAAAATTATTGTGCTTATTTGAGTAATCACATGTACAAACACTGACAATGTTCCAGTCCTCACATAAACATTTATGTATCTACTAGATGAGAAGATAAGCTGAAGTTACTCCGCTCCTCATGCAAATGACTATGTTTTCACTTAGTTCTTAAAAGTTTCTTTACAGTGCTCTTACCTTCAGTCTTCAGTTTCTAAAAACTCTGGCCAGAAGAGAGTGTATTGTAAACAAAAAATATGATTTGTCGATAACCAAGAGTGAATTTTACATAATATGTGAACTGAAAGGCATTCCTAAATGTCATGGTTGTATAATTCAGATAACCGCTCTTAAAATATAAATAAAGTATAAAAAGTGTAATGCCCTTCAGCTAAAATACTTGGAGAAACCATCAAGGAGGACTGAGAGACGTTTTGCAAAATCACCTAGGAACTAAAATGCATTTTGAAGACACTCTGTACTTTGAAAGTATTCTGAAAATACTTCAGAAGTACTTTGGAAATTTGACATAGTGGATTTAGGTGTATTTTCATTGAAATGGCCATTTTTGCAATACCTAATACAGAAAACTATTCATATTTAGGACCATTATATTGCTCAAATTAAGACCACATCTTATTTACCTTATTGAGACTACTTCTAGAGGTTGTACCATGCTACTACTGCAGCATTCCAAATTGCATTCATTGCATGCTTAGGTATTTACATGAACTGAGAGAATGTAACAAGTGCTTCTTGTCACTTGTCTCTAGTCTAGTTCTATTAAAACAAAAACATTGTCAAAAATTGTCAAATGTGTCTTAGTTACATGCCCTTAGGATTTCACCTGGATTTTGCATAAATTGTTGTACAAATTTTTGTACCTGTATATGTGATCGTAAATATTGCTTACTTCTTTTTTTTTTTCTTTCTCACTGTAGTTACCTTTGAAGATTGACATTATTAAACACCCAAATGAAACAGATGGCAAAAGCACTGCTGTGCATGCTAAGCTCCTGGCACCTGATGATGTCACAATTTATAAATACCCTTGCATTCCAGAATATGAAGAAAAACGACATGAAGTAAGAAATTCTATATAAGCAGCAGGGCTTTGTGCTGGGGAGATGCAGAGGTTATCTTCTGTACTTCCTCCTGCAGCGGTACTGCACTCTGCTGGGAGGGAGCGGGAGGAAAGCACTATTCTCTTAATCCAGTCCACTCCACCTTGAGCTCTCTCAAAGCTTGGGCCTACAAACGTACAGTGGTTACGGACTGTCCTCCAAAGCTTGGAAAAACTGTAGCACTGTCTAACCACCTTGAATTTCCTATGTTCACCACCTTAGGTAATGGACAATTTGATTCATTGTGTGCCATAAGTATTTTGCCCAAACATACGAAAGCATTCAACTTACGGCAAGTTAAACAGCAGTTAGGTGTTGTGCTCATCGTATTCAGCAGCTGCAGTGTTTAAACATCCGTAAAATTGTTAACATTCACTGTTAGAGAGAAAACCTACTGAAATGCAACTGTTGTCTATCACAGTCAGCACAGAGCCTGAAAAAAGTGAGCTATGAACTTGGATTTATATGCTCATTTAAATGGCGTGATTAATCTGAAATCTAATATTTACACATTTGATGTCATAATTAACACTTTCATTATTGTTTAACTACATGGAGAAGAAGATAATACACGTATCTCACAGAGATGTTATTTTCCTCAAGGAATGAGCCATCAAGGAAAGCATAGGTGGCAAAGAGGCAGGAAGCTGGAGAAAAGCAATGGGGAAGGCAGGCAGAAGTGGGAAGAGATCACAGTGACTTTGTATTGCCCAGGCTTCCCAAGTCACAGATTCTGAATGCTGCAATAAGCTGCTGAAAAAATACTAAGTAAGGCCGTCACTTCACGTAAGATAGTTGTGGGACCTGCAACAGGCACAAGGGCAGAAGAGATTATTTTCTCTGATCTAAAATTTGTGAATGAAATTAGAAACTATTCTTTATGGCCTTCCTGCCCCGTATACTGCAATGACAAGTGAAATTTGAACGTCCTCTGGGCTGACATCATTGGCTTGGCTGAAAAAAACTTTTTTTTTTTACAGAAGTATTAGAGTTGGTAGTAGAAGCATGGAGGTGACATTTAATTCAAGATCTCTAATCAGTATCTTTATTAATTATTTTAATATAGTCTTTTATCCTTTTAGATAATAGACTATTTTTTTAAGAGATACTCTTTCATCTTCCCCTGACTTAAATGTTTGTGGGTGGGGATAGAAAATTTCTGTTCTTTAATGAAACAGTTCCTGGTGTTTTACTAGATTTATGTTGACGCTCAGATTTCTTTCTTTTCTTCATTCAGATAGCACTTATATTTCCTGGCCCCAATTCAATTTCAGTAAAAGATATTGCTTTCCATCTCCAAAAATACACTAAGAAAGGTGTTTATGATGATGACGACGACTGTTCCAGAGAGCCATTTCTTAAGCAAGCAAAAATAGAACCCAAAGAAGAAAAAAATCTAAATGAATGCATCTCAAGCAACAGGAGTGAAGACACTAGACTGAAGAAAATAATATTTATTGACAGTACCTGGAATCAAACTAACAAAATAATAACTGATGAACGACTTCAAGGTAAAAAAAAAAAAGTTGATATTGAGATGTTATTGCTACAGAAATGATTAAGGGAAATATATGTCTATGTAACAGACCTGAGCGTGATATAAGTGTATACCTAACCCTATATCTGAGTATACATGAAAGATTCAACATCCTATTTCAGTGCTGTAGAAGACTTCCTGAGCCAAAGACTCCATTACTTTTCATGTCATATAATTTGTTTTGCAAAATGGTAAGACTAGTATTAAGAAAGCATTTACATTTATTTCTCCCACTTTTTTCTTGGAACAAATTTCCTCAGTCTCACAGAATGGAAGCTGTTACGTTAGACAATAGGAGAACAGTAGTTTGAATGACCTCTGAAGAAAGCCAGAAAGATTTCCCTTGCAGGTGGCTATCTGCTTTTTCAGGAGACCCAGGGGAGAATTTTTGTACACGCTAGTGGCAGACGGGCCACTAGAAGGTGAAAGAGGGATGTAGGAGGTACAGCGCAAGTATATCATGGCTTGGTTTCTTTTTCTAGTGAAGTTCTTTGTTTCATGGTCATTTCAGTGACCTCGCTTTCCAGACAAAAGGGGAATGCCTGCTTGCCCTCCACACCGTCCCATCTCTGAAAGCAAAAACTTGTAATTCTGCAAAGGTTTTTTGTCTTTGGTTCATTACAAGAAGTTTACAGTTAAGTATTCTAAGTAAAACCACAAAAGATAAAACAATTTAGCAATAGCAGTCCATTTCCTTTGAGATAAATAGGAGTTCAAAAATACTTTCATTAGCGGAAAAGGTGCACTTAGTTGGGAGGCAGGCTATCAAGTTTATATGTAATACATGTAACTGTCTACCAGTGCCTGCTTCGCACTGGACCCTACAAGGAATTTCACAGACTTCTTACATGCAAGATTAATGTTGCCTTGCTGTCTAGTCAGTTTATTAAAGAATCCCACATGTTAGTATAATGTATTGGCTAATTAAAATCTGTTACCAAGTATTTAGTTTAACAGGAAACATACTCTATCATCAAATAAATTGAAGTATTACTGTAAAGATTAGAGTAATTGCATGTTGCAAGTTACTGTAAAGCATTTGAAACTTATTTTAAAAGGATGAATTTAAGAAAACTAACAGGCAGCCAGGGGAACTGAAGATTGCCGTGGAAGCTTATGCGGTGTATCAGTCAAAAATTCATGATTGTTGTTACTTTGGAGCTCTTAAAAGAATGGTTTCCAGTTACCCCATGTGAATGCTGATCTGGTGGACTCTTCCCTCCTTTCTAGAACTTCATCTCTGTTCCAGCTGTATTCCAGTCCTCTGTTTCCCTGAGCACCTTTCAGGGTTGCAGTAAGGTGTGATTAGCGTCATGCAAGCGAGTCTATCTTATCCACACCCAGGGGAGAATTTTATCCTCCACAGGGCAAGTAGAACAGTATGCACGACCCGTGCATGTGTTGCTTTCCTAAGTGCCTCTCATAGAGGACATAAGTTGCATTAATACTCCTTTTAGAGACTGCAATTTTGCCTTCCAAGATGAATGGGGCAGAGTTTCTTTAGGCATAAACTGATGAAATTTTTATGTTGTACACACATGAAAAATAGAGAACTGTTGTCATTTTTTAGTTCAACTACAAATGAAGTCATCATCCAACAAAATTATCCTCATATATTAAAGTTCAAAGGAGTGTTCATCATTCCAAATAAAAAGTAATTGCTGTACTTATTCAGAAAGATGAAGTCACAAAAAATACTGAATAGAAACATTAACGAAGCCAAGCAAATGTAAAGAAGAGCCTTGTGTTTTGTAAGCCTGCATTTATACATAGAGTAAATCTACCTAATTGTACTGCAAGAGAACACAAATGAGTGCATCAATCTTAAAAAAAAAAGTCTAGAAAATTTGGACAAAAAGTACTTTTATATCGTGGAGAAGTGGTGTAATATATCTTTAGAAAGCAAAACTAAATTAGTTATGTTAAAGACAGGAAATATTTGTAAGTTGGTAATGTCTAGGATTGATTACTTCATTAAAAGTGATCACTAGATCAGAAAGGAAACAGTTGCATCTAATGTTAATGATTACTTTCTCATATGAGCGATGAAGCTTATTGGCAGCATCAACATGGTTGTTAAAGAAACAGATTGCTTTGGTATTTTTTCCTGTAAGTCTGATCCACTTTGTATTAGCCAAACGTTGTATTTTATTAGCTTATACATTTTCTTGTACAAGGCTGAATAACACATCTGCTTTAGTAGTTTGGCTTTTTTTTTTTGGTAAAGTTTCTGTCCTTGCTTTCATTTCTGCAAGAAAATGGTAGCCTTTGCCTATGCACAGCTAGGATATTTGAAAGCAGTAAGTAGATGTTCTCCGAGGCAAACTCCCCTCAGCCTCTTTTCTGACAAATCTCTTGTCCTCTTCTCACATATTCATCTTTCTTCTTCCCTCAAAGTCACACGCAGGGGTGTGATGCAAAGAAAAAGTGGGAGTTCTGTCATGAGTTTCCACATTCTTTCTAAAATAAGGTATCCTGACATGATTCAGGGGGCCATAGCAGAAGCAAGGTGAATCCAAGGTATGTAAACCCCTTCTTCCTCAGCCTAAATCCTTAAGTTACTCATAAACCTTGGGAATTTAAAGGATTAGGAAAGGAACAGAAATCCTGCCTGAAATAGCATTTTCAAGAAAAGGAGTAGAAATCCTGCCTGAAATAGCATTTTCAAGCTGTTACCTCTTCAGGAAATTAACGGTGTAATTAAAATAGCAATAGGCACATTAGTAAGAGCTTAGACTCTTCCTAGCTACCGTAGATACAAACCATAATTAGTCATTACTTAAAGTTTTCAGCACTGGTATTTCTTGAACTAGTTAATCTCCCAGTTCACTATACAAACCATGGGGACAAAGAGGTGATGGAAGGCTCAGAGTAAACAACAGGCTTCAGCATGTGTGTAAACTTTACAACTTACATACATCTTGCTGATAAGAACTTAGAATCTCTTAGATGTAACATCAGTGACCAAACATGATTAATACAGGATCCTACAGGTTTGCGCAGTCGATTATTATAGTGGAGGGAGCACAGGGATGGTGCTGTGATAGTAGGATGGAGCATATCAGGAAAAAACAGAGGCTTAAGGAAAGGTGGGAGATCTCTCTGAAAGGTATTGTCTGCCATAAGACAATACAGGAGAATAACTTTTGTAAGGGAAGTTTGGTTACATTACCTAAGTAGATTTAAAGGTAGTTGTATTTCCATTTTGCTCGATCTCAGATTTATAGAAACGTTTATTTCTAATGAACTCAAAGTATGTGGATGCTAAAAAAGCAAAACATGTTGATTTCCTTAGTGTTGTAAGCTTTCATATGAACAATCAGTATTTGTAATAAAACATTGCCTTTGGCTGTACAGATAGAAATACAGTACAGATGATAGAAACATGCTCAGTAAACTGTAACCCTTAACCCCTTCTAATTTCTTTTGTTACAAAACTCCTAAAATTCTATGTTTGAAACTAACTGATCCTGCGTTTGTGGTAAGCTCAGTGGTGTCAGTGCTCTTGCCTTCAATGAACTTTTGTTTGGATTCAAACCACAAATAGGTGGGAGTTTACATTGGAGGAATCGTCCCCTAAATTTAGTTCACTGCTGTTAAGGTGGAAACATCACTGAACTTAATGAAAGTTTTCACTTTGGTTAGGGCTGAGAATTCAAGTATTGAAACCTCTTGAGGGAAACAAGCTTAATGCAGTTTCCTATTACTATTTTGAATACACATGTATGGGATTATTAGAGGTAATAATTAGACTACATTATTTTGAATATTTAGTTCCAAAATGCCAACAGTCACATTTAAATTCAGTGATGGAATCTCCTGTTTCTTTTTTTTAAAACACGCTGTAGGAGAGATTTCTTTTACTATGAAAGATATCATACATTACTAACTGCAAACAACTAAATCCATCTTGCAATTACACTAGAAAGAATTAAACGTAGTTTGAAGGTAAAAAGTATAGAATTACAAAAGTGCTGGGCTATAGGCCAGTTGGCGCTCCTGAATTTGGACCTTACAGAAACTTCTCTGTCCATAACTTCCAAGCAATTCTTAAACCATATTGTTATTTATAGTATTACTTGTACTAAACCATTCCATGACACACACTTAGTATCTGATTTTAACATTTAGAAAGAGATAAATTTACAACCTGATCCTGGTTTTGACAGGTGTATATGCCATTCTTTATAATCCAACTGTCCATCCTGTTTACAAAGTGATTACACATTAAGGTGGTTTTAATTTTGATTAGTTTGTGCATCTCAAGGAACATAGAAATCAAGATACATGTTTAAAATTCATCTGAATAATAAAACAGTTACAGAGACTATAGTAGATAAAAGATTTTCATATGCCATACAGAGACCAAATTTTTCTTTCATCTCAAGTGGGAATGCTTTTAGTTTCTAATAAAATTAATGACCAGATTCTGTCATGCTTGCTCCCAAGTAATCCCAGTGAGATTTCAGTTACTTAACAAGCATAAATGAAAAGTGTCTGGCTCTTAGCAAATACTCCTCAGTTCAGCAAAACAGTATGAGGGATTCTGTTTTACACTTGCAAGGTATTAGCTTTGCAAAAGGTGAAGTTTGATTAATCATTTTGTGAACACTGACAAGTCTCTGTAGGTGTGGGTTTCACTCTTCCTATCTGACGAGACCCTGCAGTTTACCGAGGGCCGTGAGGCTGTATGAATGAAGGGATAACCTGTAAGTTTTAATTGCAAATATGAGGATTGTAACCTAGAACTTACAGCACTTTTTCCATCAAATTTCACAGTGGTCCACAAAGGAGGATAAAATTATTGCCTCCATTTTACAGATGAAAAATGGAGGTACAGGAAGAGAAATTATTTGCATGCAGGCATCTAGCAGGCTAGCAGCAAAGTCAGAAAACAAAAGACTTGTTTGGCATCCTGTCCAGCAATCCACATTGCCTAATTTATCAGCTTTTTTTCTTGACAGGGTTGCTGCAAATTGAGTTGAAGACAAGGAAAACTTGCTTTTGGCGTCATCAGAAGGGAAAGCCAGAGACATACCTTTCCACAATAGAAGCCATTTATTATTTCCTTGTGGACTATCATCAGGAGATTTTGAAAGAGAAGTACAAGGGACAATATGATAATCTGCTTTTTTTCTTTTCATTTATGTACACATTGATTAAAAATGCCAAGTGTTGTGCAGGAAAAGAGTAAGATGTCTGTCTATAGGTAAATAATACTACCTTTTATTTTGTTTCTTTTGTAATGATAAACTGCACAAATGGAACTATTATCTAACTGAAATCTGGAAGTAGATTGTACTCTTAATAATGGCTACAGTGTTTGTCCAAAAGTAAGCTGCAGACCTCATGTCCTGCACACTTGAGGTTGTAGAACTACTCGGATGAGCAGTCTGATTAGAATTACTTCTGTGAAAATAGTTATGCTTTGCTAAATATTACTGTGTTTGAACCTACAGACCTGATATGCTCATCACAGTGAGATTATTTCCTGAGGTGGGGGTAGGAAGACGTGACCCCTCTTGCCCTGAGGAGAGATATCTCTAACTGTAAATAGGAATTAGCATGCTAGCTTTTTATTATTATTATTAATACTTTGTTTCAGGTGTTTTCTTTGTGTTTTACCCAGTAATACTGATTTCACTTTCATGACATCAAAAACTTACTGAAATTATTAGGATGGTATTTAATTTGGGGGGATGGGGGCACCAATACAAAATGAAAGACAACATGAAGTGAATAGACTATAAATTATGTACTTTCAAGATTAATTCTGGAAAATTGTCCGAGTAATAGAAAAGAGCGATCTCTTTAAACATCATTATACAGTGCATGATTTCTATAGTACCATTCACATACTGTTCTATTAAGATTATTCTCAACTTCTGGGATAATTTTAGACCTCTTCAAACAAATTAATTTAGGTAAGTTTTTATTATTATTATGTATCATTATTATTTTTGGGAACACTAACTTAACAAATGTCACTATGGCATATCACAGACAGTAAAATTTTGTAGATGCCACATACTTATATTCTAAGCAGCAGAAAGGGCTCATTGCACTGTAGGAGTCCTCTGAAAATGCAGATCTTTTTGCAGGACCTAAGACAAAGAAAGTAATTTGCAGAGACAAGAAATAGGGAAGACGGTGGTTCTGACCACAACATTTCTGACAAGACTTCCTTAAATTAGGCAGACTGTGAATCTGCTGTGTTTTTTATCTTTGCAGTAATGGTGCGAATTTGAACAGCATAAATAAGACACTGTCTATGCTGATGAAATTTTTGCTGGTATGTGTAGCACCACTGGCAGAGTCATCCCACGTGAATGTGGTAATACAAGTGTCTTTGCCAACCTATACCATACAGCTAATGCTGGCAGAGGCAATAGACCTAAGCTGTATCTTTACAAGCAGAGTTATACGAACATATTTTTATCATACGAGGATGTTCTGCCAGAAAAATTCATGTTGGTAAAAATTACAGTCTTAAGGTAGAAAAAAATGTTTCATTAGGGGTATGATATAAGATGGATAAATATTTCTGAATACTTTCAGAAGTATGTTACTTAAGAAAAAACTAAATCTTGTTGAAGTGACACAGATTGAAAAATAATAATAGTTTTTTTTTTTTTTTTAAGAAAAATTCCAAAGTTTTTGTTGTATATTTTCCTCAGCAAATCTGGCTAAATTATAACCTGTAGCATACTCTCCAGGAGGGCACCCTCACACCCTGGTGAACACAGAAACAGTGCCTCGAAAAAATACTTCAAGAAAATCCTTTTAAGCTTACACAGCAATCCATACAGGCTCAAACAACTGATTTGTACTATGTTTTTTAATGCTTCAAGATATTGAAATAAAAGTTAATATTGCTTAAAACACAAGATACAAATACACTCTCTCCACAAGTGATACTTATCTTCAGATTTGTATGCTTATCTGCACAAGTGAACGTACATAAAAATGCATTTCAGTTCACAACCAAAACACATCTCCTCCATTTGCAAAAAGAAATGCTAGTTAAGTTACATGAGTGCACATGAAGCGTGCATGAACTATAACAGCACCACAGGAAACACAGGCTTGAAGTCAGAATGAGAAAGCTTGGTTTTAAGTATACATATATAATGGCACAGCTGTTAAGTATATTGTGAGCTCATGTGCCAGGCAATGAGAAAAATCAGCAGTCATGTCTCAGTGCTATTGAAACAACACATTTCTTACTCATTTGGTTCTTATTGCTATTGAGGGGTTATTTTGGCTTTTTACAATGATTAATGCTATTTCCTTTGGTATGAATTTTGATAGTCTTTTGACATTTCCATCTGTTCTTGTATTTCTTAAACAAAGATTGCTGTAATATTTTTTTAAAAAAATCACACAAGTATAATAGCTTGAGAAGGAAACTTTCACCCATTTTAAACAAACAAAAATAAAATGAACCCACTGACCTAATGTTTTACAAGAACCAGAGAGAAAAATCGGGGGGGGGAGGGGGAGTTACTTTAAAAAGCAGCCTAAGGCGCCAGAAGGTTTCTGCTAACCTGCCTTGATATAACAAAGAGCAGGACAAATAATTTGATTAGTGTTTTCTTCGCCCGGGTCAGAAGAAGAAAGAGACGAGAGGGAGCACGGCGGGGGGGGGGGGGGGGGAGGGGGAGTTACTTCCAAGACACCTGAAAACATGTTTTTTTTATTTAAGAAGCAGAGGTCAGGGTCAGGCTTATATAAACTGTTCTTTGTTACTTTTGGATATTTTTTTAAAAAAATCACACAAGTATAATAGCTTGAGAAGGAAACTTTCACCCATTTTAAACAAACAAAAATAAAATGAACCCACTGACCTAATGTTTTACAAGAACCAGAGAGAAAAATCGGGGGGGGGAGGGGGAGTTACTTCCAAGACACATTTCCCTGAAAACATGTTTTTTTTATTTAAGAAGCAGAGGTCAGATAAAAGCTTATATAAGCTGTTCTTTGTTACTTTTGGAAAATAGTTTCATAAGGTTAAAAATGGTTTCCAAATTTAAGTTTTGTGTACCTCACTTTATTTGAACAATGGAAATTAAGAATCTATTCCAAAAGTAAATTAATTTTAATTCTCAGGTGAAATGAACGTACAGAAAAGATTTTCAATCTGGAACACTGTGTCCAGGAATTGGGTTCAGATTCTTTTTCTTCCAGTGCAACCTCAGCGTAATGCAAGAGTCATTCTTACACCAAGCAACAGAGGCACATCGAATATCCGTAATTAATTATGGTCTGTTGATATTCCTGCAATAACCTTTTATGAAGGCAGGAAGGAGGTTATTGTCACTTCTGCTGCAAATCTGTTCTGTCTGAGCAGCAGACGTAGTTCCCCCTTCTCTCCCATCTCCCGCTCTCCCCTCAATAAAAAGATTTAAATCTTGTATTTAATTTCAGTACTGGTACTGAAATACTGAAGCCAAACCTACCAAGTCATCCACCTCACACTGAAAATGTCTCAATACCACTGGTACATTTTTCTAGCTTTGAGACTAAAGAATAGTTTGTTCCACCAAATGAAAGCGATCAAGTGGTTAATCCTTTCAAGTGCAATTAGCAGCACTGACCTCCCCGTTCTTTAAAATGAGGGTCACAGGGAGGTAAAGGCCAGTTCTGGGCCTTTTCTTTCATATCAGAATATCCCCTCACTAACTATCTCTTCTGTTTCCAAAAACATCAGAGAGCAAGGGGGAAAACAGGCTTCTACTTCCATTAGCAGTAACTTAAACAGCCATAAGTTAAAGGGGGAGGAAAAGGACGAGCATCTCTATCTATCTCCTTTCACAACAGAAGACATCTGGCCTCCTGTGGGGAGGCCCCAGATAACAAAGAACCTGTCATTAAACCTCCGAGATGTGTTCAGAGAACCATTTTACCTGCAGTCTGGCTCATTCATTTCCTGCCACTGAAGCCATCTGCTTTTGCTTATTGTGGGTATTTTTGTTCTTTGTTTGGCCAGGAGCGTGAAGTGGCTTCACTTTAGCATGCCTGTATGCTTGGTCAGAGGGAGGATTTAATCCTTTCTCAAAACGAATAAGAGGGAGCTGCAAACAACAATTCCTTTCCTGGAAGGCAGCACAAAAGTCATCCAAGCCTAGGTTGAATAAAGGGTCATGTCAGTGCATGGGGTAAAGATACATTGAGATTGAAAAGAGATGGCAACTTGGAATCTACAGCAGAACCTTCCAAAGCACTTGTAATCTCACCTGACTTAAATCTTTTGCTACTGCTTCTTGCAATTTTTTTTCAGTTTGAGTCCATCTCATTTTCCATATAGGCTTCTTCAGCCCTAATTGCAGAGTAATGTAGCAATCTGTTCTTGCTTTTCTCTTGCACTGGCTTTCACTATTTTGCCTGAATGCTTTAAAAATCAGTCTGTCTTCATCAATGATGGTCTTGGCATACTTATATAAAATGTAACGTGACATGAAAATCCATTCCACCTATCCCTATCTTTGAAAATACCAAAGTGAGGAGGGGGAAACTTCCTATTAGTTTCCCATCATTTACTATAATGCAGTTACGACACTCCCAGGTACCACTGACTTGTGTCTCAAAGTATTCCAAAAAGCTGCGCATCAGCTGAATTCATCAAACTTGTTTTGCGACACAAAAACTTAATGGTGACTGCAGCAATGTTAAAACAGGAAAGCTTTCCCACTAAGATGAAAAGATCGTGTGGCAGTAAGGTGCTGATCTATTGATACCAGAATATGAAGTCACCCATTGAGGTACTGAACGACTCAACATAATTCCTGAACTGTTATCCCCTGTGTTGAGAGACATTATTTTAGTAAAATTCCAATGCTGTCATTAGTAAGAAAGTTGATTTTGACTGGTCACACGTAGTAATACCAACATTCAAAGTGTTTCTAAGAAAAGTTTACAACATTCTTCCTGTTCACTTGTTGGGAAAGATAACACATTGCTGCCATTTTATGGATTCTGAAGAGAAATCAGATGCTGTAGAATTTTGAAAGTGGCGTATCCCATTAAACTTTAAAAACACTCATAGTGGTGTGGTTTTACCACTACCTGCCAGAAAAAACATTCAAATAGTTCTTGAGTCCCACAGCAAGAGGCAGGAACTACTTCTCTCATGCAAAACAGACTTTGTATTTTAACCTCACTGAAAATGGAAATTTTTGTCTAACTTTAGCAATACTGGTGCTGTTACCACATTCAAATCAACTATGATTTTACTGCTGACTTTTCAGACCACTGGTGTTGCAATAGGATGTTTAGAAACATACCACAGAAGAGTGAACGGAAGAGAATGCTCCACATCAGTCTAGCCAAGACTGAGTCCTACTCGACCTATGATCCTGTGCACTTCCCTTACCTATAAAGTTAATTTCTGCCTCTGAATAACATGTCTCTACATATGAAGCTGCACCCGTAAGCCAGTTGAACTCAGCATGAAATCTAAAGGCTGAGTATTATTACTCTGATGGTAAAATTTCTGCTTTTCCAACAGGCATAGAAGAGCTATACAGAAATGTGTATATGTGTAAATATTAATAAATATATACCTCCCTCCTAGCGATAAATGCATTAGGACACAAGCCAAAGATTTTCTCCTATGCTGTTTCTGTCTTAGGGAACATAAAGACAAAGAAAATCAAAGTGTGGTATCAGAGTTTACAAAATTAAGGAATAAACTGTTATATGTACAGAGCAAATGTGTACTTTAGATACATACAGCTGAGCCTGTTAATGTACACAGATGAGTAGTTTGACTAGGAATTCATTTATTAAGTTTGGATGCAATATCCAGCACAAGTGCTGTATTATCCCTCCAAACAATACACTGGAAAAAACAAGTAATATTTCATACCTTTTCACTATTCTGAATATTGCTGCTAATGAGCCTAGTGTAGTTCCCTACTCTTTATCTCGTGAAGTATCATGCTTTCTTTGCATCTCCAAGCAGCGCTGAAGTATTAGATTTGTGTAAAAAAAAAAAAAAAGCGTTAAGCACATCCATCCAGGCTTAACAGGGCATGCTGAAAGAGGCCAAAGGCATAAACAGGTTATTCCAAAACAATTAAGAGTAAAACTGCAAAGAAAAGTTTAGAGAGTGTTGAGCTACACAGAAATTCTGACTCACCTGCACAGAGGAAATGCCATGGATCATGCTCCGCCATTTGCTTAGCAGAGAAGAGGAGAAAGGAGCAAGAGCGCACCCACCCTGGTACTAAGGAACACGCGTTTGCCTCAAGTAATCGCATGCATGAACACCTACAGTGAACATGCACTATATGACCCTTGATAGAAAATTCATTTTATATATAATGCAACGTGATGTTTTCCTTGCTGTCTTTTGACTACTTACTGGAGAAGAAAATAATCAAACCAGCATTAGTGTTTCTCTGACGTTTTGGGGTTTTATTAATAATATGCGATTAGTTTATAAATTCCTCGGTTTATGCTAGTATTTACTCTATTTCAATGTAGTTTTGTTACAAACAACAGCATGTAAACCTATTAATGTAACTGTTATTTTATAATATACCTTCTGTCCGTCCAAACTGAGATAAGACCTAACCTCTACTCTGTGAGAACACATTTTTGTGCATATGATCTGGAATAACATGTAACTTTAATAAAACTCGTTTTCTGTGAGGTAAATAACATGGACTCTTCATTTTTTGCAACATTTTACGTCTTAGTATCATCTTCAACAGACATGCTATCAACAATGATGGGATATAATCTCTAGTCATATTAATATCTATCTGTTAATGTCTACAAGACCTGGTTTTAAACATACTTTAGGACTCTCTGAGGCTTTCATCATAATGACTTAGGCTGGTTTCCACATGGAAAAACCTAACTTCGACTCAATTAAAAATTAAATTATAAAAAACATTCCTAGGATTCACTCCGTTTTGAAGGGTCTCATAATCAGTGAGTCTTTTTTTTAAACCATGCTTGAATGCCACCCTCACAGCCTAAAAGTCTGCTTTAGTACCATTTCTGAAACTATTCGCTTTGGAGACAGACGCTAATGAATTGAACAGAATCAGACTTTTTGTAAGTCTAAAAATAGTATCCTTAGTGTCTTTTCTACAGAAGAACAACACTTTGAGTTCTGGCAAAAAAGTTTGCTGAAGCTGAAACTACAGACTTAATTTCAAATGCTGCTGCTAATGCTAAATAAAAATTCTGTATTTCAAGAACATCATGTTTTATTTCTTTCAAAAATTATTTTTGGGGCTTCAGTTTCATGACTTAAGTTGTTTGCCAAATGCAGCATGAATTCCAGCTGACCTGAATCTGTATTTCTTAGTGATTCATCTATGCAACTGAAACATTCTATCTAGCTTTCTCTGCTC